CCCCCCCCCCCCCCCCCCCCCCCCCCCTCCCCCCCCCCCCCCCCCCCCCCCCCCCCCTCCCCCCCCCTCCCTCTCTCTCTCTCTCTCTCTCTCTCTCTCTCTCTCTCTCTCTCTCCCCACTACTTATGAATCAACTGTAATCTCTGTTACTGCTCCAGTGCCATGCCTGCCTGCCCGCTGGTTGCCATAGTCTGCAACACAATGGTCATGAGGTCACTCTCCGAAATTTTAAAAAGATCCTCAAATGAATGCTTTCTTCCAGAAATTTAGTGTAATTATAGTGTCTCTTCACAGCAACAGAACAGTGACTAAGACACACCCCTTGCCATATAAGGTGAACGGCAGCCTCAGAAGCCCCTTGGCTCCTTCACTTTCTTCAGACTACATATGCTGCCATTTTTGAAGAACAACACAGGTTTCTCTGGCTCTAATAACAACCAAATTTAGATAGCCTCTAATCAAGTACAGTTCCAATGTATTCAGAAAACTAGGAGTGATCAATGCAGCCTGAATCGGTTTTGGATCCATATGCAGCAAGGCGAACTGAATTCTTCAAGTAAACCTTTAGGGAGAACCCCCTATTTGCTATCTTACAACTATTGTACTTATGATTAAAATCAGATGCATTCTGGGAAGAGACATGTACAGTGGAAAGACTAACTATATGAACCAATCTATCAATCAACCAGGAGAACCACCCAATCTATGCCTTCCTTTCTTTAGTTCTCATAGGAGAGACGTCAGGGTGTAAATCTGGGGTCCCTGGGTACCTTCATTCCTGCACCCTGCTGCCCTTGTTGACAGTGCCCTCCCCTATCGTCTGTACTACCACTGTGCTCCAAATGAAGTCACCTTGTTTTTGTTTGTTTGTTTGTTTAGTTTTCAAATCTGTAGACTTATTTTAATTCTTTGGAAAAGAGACTAAGAACCTGGAAATATCTGGGCCAGACCCCACCCCTCAGCAACTGGTGGGTACCGCTCAGACTAGCCGAACTCCCTTCTGCTAGCTACCCTTCTTCTCACAGCTCTCTGGCCTAAATCCTGCTGGGTTCTGGCTGCCTCTCCCTCCACCCTTGCAGCCAGGGTACTTGCTATTAGCTACACTATACTATACCCGAACCACTGCACTGTTCAGTGCGGGCTCCTCACACTCTTCTGCTGCCTTTGTAAATGGGACTGGATTAAATCTACCTTGAAATTTCCTAACTTGAAAATATAATACAGTATCTTTCTTGCTGTGTTCTACTCCTACTATAACGAGACGTCCTGCTTTAGGGAGCCATGATGTGGGGGCTGGCGTGATGGCTCAGTGGATAAAAGAGCTTGCAGTCAAACCCAAAAACCTGGGTTCACCCCCCCCAGGGGGCACATGATGTAAGGAGAGAATCAGCTCCCCAAAGTTGTCTTCTGACTTCCACATGTGCATTGTGGCATGCATGGCGGGCAGGCAGGCAGACAGACAAATGTAATTTAGAAAGTCGGGCTGTCTCATCTTCCTCGATACCATCAGTTTCCGTAGCTTTTCCTCTGAAGGCAGCTCTGCCACTCACCCAGCATCTCAAGTTCAGTCAGGGGCACACTTTGGATTCTCCCACAGGCTAGACGCCAGCGGCCCAGACGGGAAATTCTGGGTTTCTCCTCCTTTGGAGCAGCCATGTGGCATGAGCTCTCATGCCACCTCATTTTGGCACCAGAGCCACCTCTCTCGTTGTTGTAAAGTACTGAGCATAAAACACCACGTCTACAAACTGAAATGAACACTGACGGGCTCTGGCTTCTTTCTGTCCTCCCGTGCCCTGAGCTGGAACCACACAACCTCAGCAGGAAACAGCCATCACGGAAGTAGCCCTCTCCGTTATGATGAGAAATCTGTGTTCAGGCACTGGAAGGAGCTGGGGGTGGGGGTGACAAGACTGAGCAGACAGGAGCAAGATCTGACTCAACCACTTTCAAAACATCTCATCAAACAATGACTCAAGCCTTTCGGTGGGCAATGGGGGACTCCAAATAAATCGAACTACAGAAGCTGGAAAGAAAATGTCTTCGGGTGGCTGTACTTTTATTGAGAAGCACCGGGATGGGAATGAGAGACAGAAGTTAAGTCTCCACTTCACCATTCCTAACTTGCTAATGGCGTTGGCAATCTATTTGCTCACTTTACTCCGTTGGGGTGGGAAATAGGACCAGCAAGGCTTGTTCCGTCTCAAACAGCAGCTGGGTAGAGGAAAGAAAATGACATTCTTGTGCAATCACTTATTACGGGAAGGTCTGTTCTCATGACACTGGCCAGGAAGACATAGTTGCGGGGGGGGGGGTGTCCAAGATGGAGGTGGAGAGGACCAGTGAGGGAGAGGAGGGAGGGAAGAAAATTACAATTTAGAGGATGCTTAATTATTGCTACCAAATAAGTTCTTCTGTGCCCGCCCTATCCAACACCATAAGAAAGAGTCTTGTTTCTTAGACACCCACGCTAGAAAAGAGAACCAACGCAATGAGTCTGTTCCACCTTGACTAAAGGTCACAGAGTTTGAACTTTTTTTTTTTTTTTTGCTCTTTCAAAGTTGTTGACAACAAGTGTGGCTACAAACAAAAGATCCTAATCTAGGGTGTGGTTAATTAGTATTTTGGGTAGAGAGGAGGATCCGTTCCACCTCAACTAAAGGTCAGAGAATTCAAGTCTATTCCTTACAACACGTCAATGAGGTCTGTTGCCTCCCTCTCCCCTTTTGGAGTGAAGTGTATAAGCTTGTGGAAAATAAATACAGTAGGTTCAGTATTCACTGAATTTCCTTCCCAGTGCTGTCCTGTGTTTCTGTCTTTTATTTCTCTCATATCTCTGCTCCTTTTGCTTACTAATTCTAATCCTCACGCTCCTACCCTGGAATGTGCAAACTGAGTCTAGGCTGAACCCCAACAGATGTTACTCCAACACGTGGCAGATGGGCCGTGAGCCGGTGAGAAACGTGCCTGGGCTGGCAAACCGGGAATGCCACGGGGTGGGGGATGTGTCCTGATATGCTGGGCACCAGATGAAGCCGAGTGCGTCAGAACACATCAGGTGGCAGGGGCGGGGGACACAAATCATCCCACATTAGCTCCAAACAGGGTAGTCTAAGGTTTTCCTTTATTATAAAGGGAAAACTCACAGAACAGGAACAGGGGTCCAAAATGCAGGTGTGTAGCACAGGAAAAGAGGGGCGAGAGGGCAGGACCGTGGCTTTTTGGTACCCTAAAGCCATGCCTCAACCTGGTCCAGCCTCTCAAAGCTGAAGGAGGTTCCCCATCATGGGCTTGCACACAGGCCAATCTAGTGGGGGCATTTTCTTAATTCAGGTTCAGTCTTACAAAATGATTCTAGCTTGTACCTAGGTAGCATAAAACTCGACAGCACACAAACCGAAGCCATGCACACAGTGCCGAGGAGCCGGGGGCAGCAAATGCACGCAGCCTGTGCACATGAGCTAACGCTGGTCACTAGTATTTGCACTCTTGTCTAGGTCTCACTCTTTAGAGTCCAGGCATCTTCACCTCTAAGAACGCGACTTCGAACAACAGTTCTCAAGCTTAAGTCAGGATCTAAATTTCAGGGAAGAAACTCTGAAGGCAGCTGGGGGTAGGGGCTCATCCCCAATACCAGAATTTCCAAAGGCTCCCGACCTAGGCTCCCCTCTAGACCGTGGGCCTTTGGCCTTGTCTTGGGCTGCTTTGTGGTATTAGGGATTGAACCCAGGGTCTCAGGCGTGTGAAACAGGGCTCAGCCACCGAGCTGTTCTTCCTATCCTGTCATAGACACCTATGTGTGTTCAAAAACCAGCAGGGAGGACGTTTCAAATGCATTGGAATGGATCATGTAAAGGCAGCAAAGGTGGGGAGGGAAGTCTCCTCCCTACAGAAGCTGAGTGGGAAGGGTGCCGCCCTGGAGGGGCAGGTGCAGAGTCCATTAGCTGCTCATCTGGGCTCTCTCTAGAAGAAAGCAGCAGCTTGACAGGAAAAAGAAAGATTAAGTCAACTGAAATGCCTCGATTTTAAAACTCCTTGCGGTTTTCTGAAAAACCTCCAACATCCTCCTCACAGTTTTACTTCCTCTGTTACTTTGAACAAGAAATGCCATTTGTGAGTGTGGGAGCTGTTTGGACACACACCTTGGTCCCATACAAATTAAGTTCACTGATTTAATTCTGAAGGAGGAAGGCTTGAAATCATCCAGCCTCTCCCACTGATTTCTATAGAATCGCAACTTAACTTTTTAAATATGTAAGTGGTCAGGGGTGAGTGAGGCCGAGTTCCAAATACCTTAGTCACAGAGCCTTTGCTATAGATTGTCTCTTTATGCTCCTAAACTGAGCAGGCGGTGTCTTCCCTATGCCCGTTACATATTAACTGCATGAACTAATTCATGGGGGGCACGTAAATACATGCCACAGTGCACATCACACACACTTTGAAGCCAAAAAGCTATCATCCCTTCTGCTTAACTTATTTCTCACTATTTTTAAGGGCAAATGAAAGAAAGAGAAATCTTAAGTATTATCAGCACACCCCAAATCTTAAAAGCAGCAGTGACATTCTATTTCTTTTTATAAACATTTATCTTTTATATTGTTTATTTATTTTTTATTTTATATGCATTGGTGTTTTGCCTGCATGCATGTCTGTGTGAGGCTGCCGACACCAGCCTGTTTCAGAGTCACACAGGTGCTGACGTCAGCAGGGTGGGAACAGACTGGATGCACATCATCCTTTGGCTGATAGCTGTCTAGCAATTGTTTCCTCTGATGCTTCATCTTATAACAAATGTCAGAAAAGACATCTCACCCTGGCCCCCTCACGTCAGAACCTCTCACGATTTCCCTGGCCTGGCCCCCTCACGTCAGAACCTCTCACGATTTCCCTGGCCTGGCACGCTCACGATTCAGAACCACTCATCAGAACCTCTCACTATTTTCCTGGTTTCCAAACACAATCATTTCCACAACAATCAAACCGACTGTTCTGCTTACCCATTTGGCCTTGGCTTTCGGAGTCTAGGCTCAAGGAACTCTGTCTCCTCCTCCATTTCCTGTGGAGGGATCCTCTTTTTCTGGGCGAGCCGTGGCGAAAGCATTTCCCATTCATTGTCCTGGGTGGCAGCCTGTGCTGGAACCGCATCTAGACCAGCTTGACCTCGTCTCTTGCTCTTCTTTGATTGGCTGCTCAAAGCAGTGACTTCCTCCAGTGCTAAAGAGTCTAGAGGCCTATTTCCTCCCAGATCCTCGCACTGGGGGGCCTTGTCCAAGCTGAGACTCAAGAACTGCTCCATAGTTTTACCAGGAGACTCAGACCCGGGGTCCCTTGTTTCTGGGGATAGATCAGCAACCTCACTGTGGCCCAAGACCATCCAGTTCTGCTCTTGTGCAGGGCTTTCAGGAGATGCCCTCTTGTTGTGGTCGGAAGACATTTTCTCTGCAGAACCAACTTTGACTTCATTTAGAGACTCGGGCTGGCATGTGTCTGGGGCCTCTGCTAACTGAGTTTCTGGTAGCTCTGTTTCTCCAGAACCTATGGATAATTTTTCTGATTCGGGTAAGTTTTCTCTTGCTTCCCAGGCCTCTGGTTTCAACGGAGAATCTTTTTCATGGCTTACGAGTATGTAACTCACAGCTAGTGCATGGGGGTCTTCGCTTTTCTCGGCCCACTTATCTTCAATGGACTCTGATTTTGTCTGCTCGGGCCCTTTTGTGGGAATTATGTTCTCTTCTAACTCTACTATATCCTCGATGACACCTAGAATAGGAAAGCAATACGGAGAGAACAGGCTTAATTAGCACTCAATGTGATCTGTGGTCTTCACAAACAACCACTTAAGAAGAGGCAAGCTGCTACATACTTTCCTTTTTGTGAACTTGTTCAGTTTTCTTAAGCACAGGGAAGTTTCGTAGCATAGTTGTTATATTTACATATACTGAAGATGGCTAGACAATGGATTGGACATACAGTTACTTTCTCTGCTTGCATTGGTAGCAATGCTTTAATAAATGCACTGATTTATTTAATGCTGATTCCGTGAAGATGGAGATACGTTTGTGTACGTGTGCGAGTATAGGAGGGCGGGGAGCGAATTGCTTACCGTTTGGTGGTCTCATGGCGCCACCTGCTGGTGAATCTGAACAATCTGTTTCTATTTCCCAGTCAATATTTGAAGGTGATGATTCTATGTTGGAACCCGGTCCTCCTACAGGTGAAGAAAGAGCCTCAGGGTCTTCACAAACATGCAACACAGTCACCGGGTGTCTAGGCTGCCTGCTGTCGGTCTCAGCGTGGTTTTCCTCCCTTTGATCAGGAAGAGCAGAAAGTAACATCTCTGCTGCGTCACTCCCCAGAGATGCATCATCTGGAGACCCAGCTTCCTGGGCTGTTTGAGTAGCAGCAGTAGGTTCTGTGAGGTAGGACAGATCAAAGGGGGGTGTGTATGGGGCCAGCGATTGCTTCAGTGCTCCGTCTTCCAATGGAAGATCACCCCCATAGCGGAAATGTTCGGGTTCTTTCATCAGATCTTCATCAATATTCTGGCCCATGACATCATATTCGAAATCACCCCAGGAAGCTTCAGACGAGCAGATATCTTGCTTCCCCGCATCCCCATCAACTGGTGTTTCAGGATGGCCTTCTGATAGTGTTAACTTACTCATATCGTCTATAGTGCCCGTGGAAGTGTTGAGGCCTGAGGCTTCACTGAAACTGTGCTCAAAGGCAGCTTCGCTCACATCCAGGCAGGTGTCTGAGGCTAGCAAGATGTCAGTCAGTACAGCAGGGTTCTCAGAAGCAAAAGGTTGCTCACGGTCAAGCAAGGCCCCCGTGCCTGTCTGACTGTCAGGACAAAGTTCTTCTGACACCCAAGAGCCGTTGCCTTCTATACTGACCTCCTGACAAGTCACGGGAGTGTCAGCATCTCCATTTCCAGTACCTGGGATCCCCCTGTCCACGGCTCCCACCTCCGGGTTGGCATCTTCCTCTAACGCTGTCAAGCTTGTATTGTTGTCTCCATGCCTATCAGAAGGTTCAGGGGAACTTTTGGGAGAGGCAGGCTTAGATGAGCCATTTATATCCATCCGACTATCGATTGGAGGCAGTGGCATCGGGTGTTCAGAGTGGAGTTCTGAACTGTGTGGGAGAGATGCCTTCCTGGGTCCCTGAGTAGGTTCATCATTCATCTTTAGCTCAGGGAGGTAAAGTTCACTGGGCTCCACTTCAGGTCCTGGGGAAGCACCTGCATGCGTCTCCGTCTCTTGCTTTCCTTCAGAATCGTGGCACACATCAGGGCTGCCGGAGGCCTGAGAGTCGCTGTCATGGTCGCAGTGAGTCAGTATATCAGGATCCTCAGCATCTGCTCTGAAGGCGAAAGGCTCTTTGACGTCCACCCACAAATCAGGGGAAGCCGAGGCCAGTTGTCCACCCTCCTGGAAGTTGTCATGTAAAATATCTGGAACAAAGTTAGGCTGGGGCTCGCCGGGGCTGGGGCTATCCCATTCAGAACCTGACTTCTCCATCAGCTCTGTGGGAGTACTGACTGCAGTGAGATTTTCCGTGACCGTGCTTGAGTGTGTCACTTGGCCGGGATAGGATTTTTCTTGTCCCCACCAGTTCTCTTGTTGGCACTCAGTGGGAGAAACCCCAGGGCTGATGCGTCCGTTTTCATCTCTGTTAGTAAATGTTGGGTCCGCATGGTCCCAGACAGAGAGCGCAGGTTCCTGACGCTGCTCTTGGGTGCGAGTCTCCGCAGGAAGGTTGTCAGCAGTAGAGGGCACAGCTGTTTGCTGGCCTGCATCTTCGTCTTTAACTTGGTTCAATATTACAAGCTGACTGAACTGGTCGGCATCTGAGTCAAGCTGCTTTGGTTGAATGTTCCAAAGTTTCTCATGTGACTTGTCCCCATTGCTATATAGAAAGGGTGACTTCAGTTTACCACTGAAGGGATTAGTAGTGTCTGTGTCCACAGGTTCACTATCACTCTGAATGGGTACGCCCCAGGGACCCGAGTTCTGGAAGACTGGAGAAGTTGCCTCTAAGTTAGACTCCCCCTCAGAGTCAGACAGTGGCCCTGCAGATGTGCTGACATTCGGTCTCCCTTCCTGTAGAGGGCTGGTCCACCACTCACTGCTGTCAGCTGAGAAGCCAAGCATTTCCAATCGAGCAGGGTCTCCATCCCGGGGCTCAGGTTTGGGAGACACCTGCCACATGCTGTCTCCCGTCCTCCCCGTTTCTGCAGCCTTGACCTCCACAGATGTGTCCTGTGTGCCAGTCTGCACGAGTGGTGACAAGATCCACTGACCAGGGCTGCTTTGTTGACTGTCGCAGAATGGGTTTGGCTTGTTCTCTTTCTCTCTTGGCTCTGAACTACCCACAAAGACAGAAAGTTCAGACTTGGGATCCTCTGTGGTCAAGAACTCGGGTTCATGCAGTGAACCACAAGCCCCGGATTCGCTCTGAGAAACTTGGCATGTGGCCAAATGGAGCTCTGTCTCCACTAACTCTCCGTCACCTCCACCATCATCGTCAGAACCTGAGCTTGTGGATATGCTCCTAGTGTCCTCTGGCTGCGCAATTTCCAGAAAGTCAAGTTCATTTTTCTCTTGATGGCTAATTGTTACACTTCCTCCCTGATATGCATAAGAATATTCTGGATATTTATCCGTTCCAAGGCTGGATGAAGAGGATGAGGAGTCACCGTTGATGGACTCGCTTGGAATCTCAGGAAATTTAGGATCCCTGTGATCAGACAACTTTCCCAACCCATCCTGTCTATTTTCTGCAAAGTCCCTCATTTCAGTAACCACTTCTGCTTGGGATTCGGTGGCAAATTGTTCCGGTTCTTGGTGAATTGGTTTGCTCCTGTCGTCCTGATCCTCTTTCTGAAGTTCAGTACCGGGTCCATGGGTCCAGGGCAAAGCCACTGGAGACTCATTTGGATCAGGACTCGACATACTTGAATGAGTACATTCACTGGAGAGGCTGTCTCTGTCATAATTTCCTGGGGAAAGGGCTTCCGGGAAGCCGCTCTCGGGGCCATGGCCTGCGGGATTCGCAGTCGCCTCATAACTTATGTGACTGTCCCACACGTCACTGTCTACAGCGCCGTCCCAATCGTCCAAGGTCTGAGGACACTCATAAAGCAGCTGTTCATCCGCTCTTCCTGACTCCAGAGGATTACAGGCTTCAGTTTTCTCAAGTTCCATATCAGATAAAGGCATATTTTCTATTAGATGAATCCTACCGGAAGTTGTGCCCGTTTCACCTGAATTTCTGACATCCACGAGAGATTCCTCATGGGTCTCTTTTGTCTGCAAATCGCTTGTGGGTGTCTCTGCTTGCACAGCAAAGGAGTCTAGAGCATAAGGCTCCTTCTCGACTTCTAAGGCTTCCTCTGGTCCCTCCGCTTGAGGACCGGAAGTGACTAGAAGAGAGTTGATTTTGCCTGACGCACTGCAGATTTCTTGGTGTTTAAATGCAGCTGAAAAAGACACTGCCTGGTCACTGGGCTCTTCTCCCTCCACCCCGGAGCCTGCCGCTGCCTCCTTGTTGAGATGCCCGCTGCTAGGGGCTCCCAGGCCTTCGATCTCTCTTTCACTCTGTCCGAAAGCACAGCCAGTCCACGGGTCTGACTGTGTGACACATTCTGGACTCTCCGGCCTGGTCACCAAGGATGCTGTGTCGCCTTGTGACTCTGTCCACATGTCCCGAGATGTGAGTGCTGCTGGCTCACTGAATCCAGAGGCTTCTAACACGGGACTGTCTTTATCATTTACTGAGTGCCCGGGAATTTCAGGAGGCCAAGCGCTTTGTCCCATATCTGTAGTACTGGGTGGGCTTGGTAATCTGAATGTCGGCATATTTTTATCTCTCATGACAGAATCCCAAATACTGTTTGCAATTAACTGCCCACTCTTCTCATTCAGGATATGGTATTCACTGGGACCAGTGTCCCCAGTGGGCTCGGCAGAGGCGGAGAGGTCCCAGTCTACCTGGTTTGCTTCCTGATGCTCTGTGCCCCAGGGTTCCAGCTGCTTCACTGAGAACCGGGTTTCGGGTTCAGTGTTTGCAGCTATGTAACCTTCTGCTTGACTGTCGCCGCTGATAGCCACACCCCCACTGCAGTCATCCCAGTCCAGTTCGTTGTCCATGTCCGAGATGGTGGCGGTGGACTGTGTGTCCTCCAGAGCCACTCGGTTCCATGTCTCAAGGCTGTCGGGGGCTGCCTGGCGTGAGTTGGTGTTGCTGTGGAGAAGGGTGAGCTGCCGGTTTGCCTCGTTGTAGAGTTGCATCATGCTGGGGTCATTGTAACTGGATGGGCTGCTCTCCCCTCCATCGTCCTCCCTGGAAGCAGGCTTGTCTACTGCACGCTCGATCTTGAGAAAGTCTTTGTCTGGAGGATGTGCGCCATTTCCTTCGGGTGTATCATCTGCAGGAGGCGACGCCCACATGTCTAAGTGCCCGGGACCGGAACCAATTCGATTTCTCTGAGACTGCTGCGGTGACGCTGCGAGAGACTCGCCACCCTCTGCAAGACAGTTAGTGTCTTTGGCCTCAAAACCATTCTCTTGAGCAAATGGCTTGTTTTCTGTCTCCTTTTCATCTCCAGCGTATGTTGGCGACGTGTAAGAGTCAGAGGTGGAGTAGTTGGTGTCCAGGGGGGATGGGACTGAATCTTCTCCTAGGTTGGATGCGCTGTAATCAGAGCATTTGTATGACAAGAAGGAGTCTTCCCAAGGAGCTGATACATCTGACCCTCTTTTCTTAACACTCTCCTCAAAGAGGCTCCAGGAACCTTCCTTCCCATATACCCTCCTTCTGGCTGTCGGATCCACCAAACCATTCTGGTCTTCCCCTGGCAGCTTAGAAGTATTCCACGTTTGACCCAGATCAGATATGGGGCTTCGAGATGTAAGAATACTATCCTTGGGGCCGCTGCTCGTATTGCCCCAGACTTCTGGAGCAGCATCTGCATTGACTTCAACAAGGGAATTGTCCAGTAGGTCCGCAGCAGAGAAAGAAAACCCGCTTTTGGCCATAGCCCACTCATTCGGGTCCTGCACAGGCGGCATCTCGTTGTTAGTGGGATGAAGATTCCAAGTGCTGTGTAGAGTCTCGGTGCTGTTTCTCTTATCAAATGCACCCCAGGCCGGGAATGGCACCGAGACTGCGGTGTCAACAGAATCTGAGGGATTTCCCCAGGGCTCGGGCATCATTGTTGGCGGATGGCCTGAATGCCACAAAGCAGCGAAGTCTTCTATGAGGTGGTTTGTCCCTTGAGGAGAGGCATCTGTCAAATGCGGCATCTCTGTGGGTGGATGCTGACATTGCAAGCTCTCCTTCTCCTGGTCGTGGGTATCTTTGCTGCCCAGTTCAGGCTGACCAAATTCAGATTCCCAGGGATCTGACTTTGGGAATCCGAGACTTTGCGGTTGGAAGGCGGAATCCGAGGTTCTCCTCTCAACAGGGCCGTTCTTATGCTCTTTCCAGGATTCAGGGTTCTGGAAGACAGGCTCTTGCTCACCGGGGCTCCACGCATCCACGATATTTTTCGAGTCAATTTCTAAGCCACCCCACCAGCTGCTGCACCGTGTGCGGGTCTGAGGCGGCCCCAGGTGGGTCGCGTCTATGGCATTTTGGATCATACCTTCAGGATAGAGTGGGGCTGGCGCTTCGGTTGACGGTGAGAGTTCTGCAAAGCTGTTCATAGGTGTTGGTGGGATCCTCTTCCCAATGTTCTTCAGCCGTGGCGGGGAGGAAGGTCCATCTCCCACGAAACATGCCAGGCTTAAATTACTTTCAGAGTTATCTCCTGAACTTTCTTGTCCCTGGACAAAGTCTTCATCAAATTCCACCAGGCTGTCTTTCCCGGTCTCCGACAAAAGTGAGCTGGATGAGTAATTAGACTTGCTGATCCCCATCTCACCAAGTCCTTTCGGCCCCGCGGAGAGGTTTCCTTCTGATGAGTCGCTGTTGGGGAAGCCGTCTTCTGGCGAGTAGTCTGCAGAATGGGAAGACGGCTGGGATTGCTCAGAAGCCATGGGTGCTGGGTCAAAGTTGAAGAGGTCAAAGTGTTCGCTGTGCTCTTCTGCAACTATCCCTTCGGGGATGGGGCTGTAGGAGTCAAATCCTGGGAGAAGGCTGTGGTGAGGCCCAGCACCCTCTCCCACGGGGCTGTCATCACTGAGGAACACTGAGCTCTCCTTGGATGAACGACTGCTCCTGATGGTGGCCAAGCCGCTGTCGGGACTAACAAGGTCTATGTTGACATCTGCCTGAGCCTGGTTAGAATCGTTGAGCTCTGGAGGGTTTTCTATGAAATTCACAGAGCTGGGCTGTGGCTCTATGTCAGAACCATACAGTTCCATAATCCCGGAGGAGCCCTGGGACAGGGGCGCGCTGCCTGCCACAGCTTCCGTGGAGGATGTCCGGCTGTTAGAGACCATCTCTGCACACCTCCTGTTGATGACTTCCTTGACAAGAAGAACCACCTGGTCACAGGTCACAGAAGGGTTCTCCTGCTGGTATACCAGGATCTCGTCACAGCCACATTCAAATGGCTCCAGTTCCAGGCAAGGGTTCTGACTTTCTTCCAATTCACAGCAAATCTACAGGGAGGCACAAGGGTGTGTGTGAGCGTGGAGATACCCCTGGCATTTTGTCTTTCTCAGCTTTTCACTAAAAATTTGTGTATTTTCACATATGTGTACTATAACAACGTCATTCCTCATCTTCTTTTCCTCCCTCCAACTCCTTTCATTCCCCCATTCCTTCTCAAATCTATTGCCTTTCTTCTTTATTTTTTGCCATGAAGCCATACACTATATATGAGTAAATATATAACTATAACTTGTTGAGTCCATTTAATGTTTCTCATATATGTACATTTTTAGAGATGATCACTCAGTGATAGATAACTAATCAGGGGGCTCATTTCTCGAAAGATTGATTGTCCTAGCCAGTTTTATATCAATTTGACACAAGCTAGAGTTACCCAAAAGGAGGGAACCTTAACTGAGAAAATGTCTCCATAAGTTCTAGCTGTAAGGCATTTTCTCAACTAGTGATTGATGGGGAGGGCCCAGCATTGTGAGCGGTGCTACCCCTGGGGTGGTGGTCCCGGGTTCTATAAGAAAGGAGATTAAGCAATCCGTGAGAGCAAGGCAGTAAGCAGCACCCTTCCATGGTCTCCGCATCAGCTCCTGCCTCTGGGTTCCTACCCCATTTGAGTTCCGGTCCTGACTTCCTTCAGTGATGAACAGTGATGGGAGAGTGCAAGCCAAATGAACCCTTTCCTCCCCAACTTGCTTTTTTGGTTATGGTGTTTCATCGCAGAAGTAGAAACCCCAAGTTACTGATTCTCCCTCTCTCAGCAATCACAAATTGCCTCCATCTCTTCTTCTGGGGCTGGGATCCTGTGACCTTTCTGCCATCCACGTTAGCACTTCCTCTGATGGTGTCATGGTTTGGGTCTTATTTAGGCAACCACACTGTTGAGGATGCGTGGGTAGAGCTTCCTTGTCATACACGGGAGATAAACTCACAGCAGACATTCTGGTCCTCTGGTCCTGCAGTCTTTTCACACACACATACATGCACATACACACACACATGCACACGTGCACACGTGCACCTGCCATTCTACAACATTCCCTGAGCCTTTGGTGTAGGGGTTGTTTTGTAGTGTATCAATTGCTGATGGGTACCACACAGTCAGTTGGTCTATGGATTTTGACCAGTTGTGCTTTCTATAATGATCTCTGTCTATTGAAAAAAGAAGTTTTTTGGATGAGGGTGAGAGCCACCATTAGCAGACTGCGTCTGGGCACAGGATGTGAGCACTGTCGGTAAGGCCTGGAGGGTGGATGTGGCATGACTAGGCTGACATCAGAAATGCTGATCAGATTGACATGGCATATAAAACGTGCAAATGGGACCTGGGGGTTGAGAATGGTGGCCTTAAAATACTTTATTTATATATGTGTGTGTGTGTTTGTGTTTGTGTGTGTGTGTGCGTATGTGTGTGTGCATGTGTGCATATGTGTGTATGTGTGCCTGTGTGTGCATGTGCGTGTGTGCATATGTGTGTATGTGTGCCTGTGTTGTGCATGTGTGCGTGTGTGCATATGTGTGCATGTGTGCCTGTGTGTGTGCGCACATGCCCGTGTATATGCTTTCTTTTGGAGGCTAGAGGACAACTCCAGGGTCATTCTCAGAAATGCCATCCACCCTTTCGAGACAGGATCTCTCACTGGCCCAGAGCCTACCAATTTGGTGAGACTGGCCAGCCGGCAAGCCTCAGGGATCTTCGTCTCTGTTTTCCCAGGGCTGGGATGATAAACCTGTGCCACCATGTCCAGCTTTTTGTGAGGCAAGTTCTTTCCCACCAGAGTCAACTTCCCAGTCTCTAATAAGTGTGGGCCACTGTGCTAGGCTGACTTGTGCATGTGACTGCACTCGGGGCTTTGTACATGCTGGGCCAGCTGTCTCCTGACGGGGCTGGATCTGCAGCCCACAAAAGTTAAACTGTCCATCTGTCTACAGAGAAGGTCGCCAGCAACTGAGACCCAGGTACCACTGTACCCAGCTTAGCCTGGCACCAGCTCTTTCTCCAGCCCCATTCAACTTAACATTTAGATTAGTCAGCTTCTCCATTTCACTGGTTTCTGGGAGTTACCAGTGACTGTCTTTAAAATCACCCAAAGCCTTTCCTAAGTGTAATATAGCACCATCTTCCAACAGCTGTGAAATATGAGTCTGCAGAATCCCTGGGTGCTGACCAAGCATTTGAATCGGAGAGGAAGCCAGCTCCGGCCTGGCCCTGATGGAGTGTTAAGGCAAAGGAAGAGGCGCGAGAGGGAAAGGGCCACAGGTTGAGCCTCCCCATGGCACTCAGGCCCCTTCCTTTCCTTCTTGCCCTGGGGAGCAGTGACACGGAAATCTGAGCAGACAAAGGCTCCTGGAGGGCAGAGGGACACTGAGCCAGACAAGCCGGCTCCAGGCCGGGCCCAGGCTGCAGCACTTGGAAGTTTAGGGAACACCAGGACTGTTTTGCCATGCTGAGCTTTTGAAAAAGCCCTACATGGGGCTGGAGAGATGGCTGAGTGGTTAGGAGCACTGACTGTTCTTCCAGAGGACCGAGGTTCAATTCCCAGCACCCACACAGTAGCTTACAACTGTCTGTAACTCAAGTTTCAGGGGATCTGACACCAATGCACATAAAATTAAATAAGTTATTGTTAGGAAAAAAAAGAAAACAGCCCTACAGGATTAACAGGGGTTAAAAACGATGGTGGAGAGGAGAGCCTCAGAAGCTGTGGAAATGGCCTTGATGGTAACCACAGCCAGCAGCGTTCTCCGCGTGCTTACCCACACCAGCACAGATGTAAGTGTGTCACACCCAAGGGTTCTCTTCTTCTCACAGGGATGCAATGTAACTTTTTGTTTTGTTTCAAGCTTTGTTGATAAGAAAACAAAAACTAGGGAAGGATTGATAAATCAACAACTCTCTGCTGGTGGGAGGGGACCTGAATTTCGAACTCTGTGACTGAACCACAGAGGTGGACTCTTCACTGTGTGACCATGAGATAAAGGAGGACCCTGTGGTGCAGAGCCTGTCCCCTTTGGGTTGCCGGGAATTTAGAGGAGTTGCCTTTGAAACTGTCAGTGGGGTGAGGAGAGAAGAGGAAGTGCTCCAGGGTTTTGACCACTTCCTTTGCTTAAAGAAGTTTACTTTCAAAATGACTTGGAAAAGGGGTCTGCTGCCAAAAGTGCTTTGAAAACTAAGATAGCAGACATGTGGACAACTTATGTCTTCTCTCTAGAAAGTTGTGAGCAAAAGGGTAAAATCTACCCTTCGTTATGATTTGGCAGTAAAATATCCCCCCACAGGCTCATGCACTTGAATCCCTGCTCCCCAGCTGCTGTGTTATGGGGACGCCATGGAACTCTTTAGACACGGTTCCTAGCTGGTGGACACTGGTCTGTAGGTTGCAGGGGAGCCCTGCTTCCTATCTGGCCACGTTCTTCCTGATCTGGTTGCAGTGGGATAAACCATGTTCCAAGCTCCCACTTGCCACAGATGTCAACTGCCGTGCCTTCTCTGCCATGATGGACAGTAGCTCTGAAATATGAGCCAGAGGAAATCTCTCTCCCATTCGTTTGCTTCTGCCAAGGGTTCTGTCACCGCGACAAGAAAGGTAATAGCACACCCTTGGGTCCATACGCATAGTGTGTTAGCCCTGGGAAAGCCACAGCAGCAATTTGACATACACGGGTATGCGGGTCAGTGCAGGGGACACAAAGTGCGCCATAGCAGAGGCATCTTGTTCGTATCTGAACTCGAGAAAGCAGTGAGAGTAGATACAGTCATCGTGAAGGAGCCGAATGGAGCTTTAGAGGGAGATGCTGAAAAACAAAGTGGAGACTTGCCTCTCGCCACGCGTGGTAGCCAAGGACTCTGACTCGCTAGCGAGGTTCATGTTAACCAGTCATTATATCCATATCAATCTCAGTGTTAGTTATTAAGTATAATAACTAATTGGACTCATACATCCAGGACCTGTTGTGATTAACTTTCTTCTTCTTCTTCTCCTCTTCTTCTTCCTTCTCTCCCCTCTCCCTCTCCTCTTCTTCTTTTTATTTTCTAGGTTTTGTGTTAAAAGGCTCAACTCTCACCCTACAAGATCCAGCTGCTTACCCGAGCACCTTCACTGTGTTTGCTAAGGCATCGGATCACTTGTTCTAAACACCAGGCACCGCATAGCTATTGAGACAGTGGCTAGATTGGTTATCATCAGGGAGCGGTCTCAAAAGAAAACAGTGTAGAAAAGCCAGACTGGCCTTCATTTGGTAGTTTTCTTTATGGGTTCAGTCTAGAAGGAAAACAGTTGTGAGGTTGTGCTATGGTTTTGTGTCACCGTGCAAAGGTCTGCACACTCAAAGCTTGGCTCCCGACATGGTGGTGACAGTATGGATGGGATGGAATCTTTAAGAAGTGGGGCTAGCAGAAGGTTGTTAGGTGACAAGGAGGATCAATGAAAGCTTCAGGGACTGTATCGATTTTCACGGGAATGGGTTGTCACAAAGCAAGTTTAGACGTTTGCTTCCAGGTTCTCTATGTGATGCTGTCCTCCAGAAAGCCCATGCCGCATCAGGGCACAAGTCCATGCCCTGCTCTCGAGTCTCAAGAACTGTGAGCCAACAAATGTCTCTTCTTTAAAAAGTACCTGGCCTCTGCCATTTTGTCAGCAACACGAAACAGGCTAGCAGCCTTTCTAAAATGAAACAATGCACGATATGCCCCAATTGCCCTACAAGTCCAGTATCAGGACTATATCTCTTGGGCCTCTTATTACTTCTTAGTCTGTTATTACTTCTTAGCACATTAATTCCAGAAGCTTAATTCCAGAAGCTCACCAACAGTGGAACAGACCGAGGAAGGCTCACCTGGCTGCACAGTTCCAGGTTCTGGGAGTACACCGCGATTTGCTGTCTCTGCTGCTCCTCCAAGGTGTAGCTCGCGATCAGGATGAGGACATCAAAACCGAACTTGTCTGTGAAGGCTTTCAAGTCACTGGTGATGTTGCTATGAAACAGACAGTCCTGAAATGACAGACATGTGAGATCATTGTCAAAGTGCCTGCTTCAGACAGTGGCCGCACATCAACTCAGGCCTGTGATGCAACAGGACAGATAGCTATCACCAGAGGCAAGTGAAGTAAATGCTTTGAGAAATTTCGGAAACATCCATGTTCTGGCTTAAAATACACTTGACTAATTTGTTTTCCCGAACCAAGGAAGAAAGATGTCTCTGCCATTATTATTAACCCTTTAGACAAGGAGTACATTTTTATGAAATATTTATCAAGTATTTGAAAAGCACATCCAGCCCGCATCTTTTATGATACTCATATAAGAATTTCTGTTGGCTCTAATCTCAGTCTGTCACTAGAAAAGCAAGAAGGATCATATACCAGGGGTCTGCGTGATTGTCTCCCTTCCTCCCTCCCTCCCTCCCTCCCTCCCTCCCTCCCTCCCTCCCTCCCTCCCTTCCTCCCTTCCTTCCAGAAGTATAGTGAAGTCATCTTCTGTTTCCTGATCTTCATATATGATGTATTCTGATATACTCCTATCTTATAATACTGTTAATTTTGGGGGCGGAGGTGGGGGGGCTGCCTGTAGTGGTCTGAGTGAGTGATAATGCTTCCCATAGGCTCAGCTATTTGCTCAGTTTGTCCCCAGTTGGTGCTGCCATTGTGGAAGTTTAGGAGGTGTCTGGAGAGAGGGGGACAGGGCTTGCCCTACATTCAGTTTGCTCACCCTATTTTGTGCTCTCTCAGCTCCCTGCTCCCTTTGCCATGCTTCCTCAGCACAGTGGACTTCAGTCCCTCTGGAACCGCAGGCCAAGACACACTCCATCTTCTGGAGGTTGCTTGGTCATGGTGTTTTATCACAGCAACAGAAGTAGTTAATACAGCATTGTAGGTGTGCAAGAGTGCATGCACGTGTGTGTGTGTGTGTGCTCTCACGCGCATGTGTACAGATGTCGAAGCACAACTTTGGGGAGTCAGTTCTTTTCTTCCTTGCTGGGCAGGTCTCTTGTTTCTGCTGCTGCTTGACAAACTCCAGGCTAGTTGTCCTGTGAACATTCAACCTGTTCTATCTCCACATCTCATCTTGCTGAAGGAGTTCTGGGATTACAGATGTGTGCCATCACATCTGGATCTTTTGTTTGGGTTCTGGAGATTGAACACAGGCTGTCAGGCTTGTGCTTCAATACTCATATCTGATTAACTAGCTCTACAATTTTATTTTCTACTATTATTGCTAGTTTCCATTCAAATTCCTGAAGGTGAACTTGGATGAATTGGCTGGGGAATTCTTTTCTGAAACAGGGTCTCCCATATGGGGAGCTGCGGCACTGAAGCCAAGGCTCTGGGCGTTACCAGAGCACTCTACAAACTGTGCTGAAGCTCCAGTCCCTGAGGATTTTCTACTGTGGGGTAGAATTTTATAACAGCTGTAATGCTGGGGTTACATATGGCAACTGCAGAGAAGGCATTCTCAGAACGTGACGTCACGTACAGAAATGTTTTGACTTTTCAAGTTATATCAACTTCAGTGAGACCACTTTGCCATAATTCTCTGTCATCACCACCAACATCGTCGTCATTCTCATTATGTAAAATCAGTTAACCGAGAGCTTATGATTTTCTCAGTGAAACATATCACCATGTACACTCAAGGGATTTAGAGACTTCTATGAATTTTATTACAATAGTAATTGTAATTATGTTTGCTGTGGTACAATATTAAAACTCAAGTATTTACCATAGAAAATGTGATTGTCATGCCACCCCCTCCTAACCACTGTGAATATCTGAATAGGTACATCGAGTTATTGATCGGTTACCACATTAATATTTGCACCAAAAATTACCATTTGTGCAAGGCTCTGCATTTTGCTGAGTGAAATCATAAGGTCTATGAGACCCCAAAGAGACCCTTGGTAGGTGGGGCTTCCATGTGCTGATGAGGATTGGCTGTCTGTTTTGGCTTGCTTGTTTTTTGTTTTTGTTGTTTGAGACAGGGTCTCTCTTCATAGCTCTGTCTGTCCTAGAACTCACTAGGCAGAACAGGCCAGCCTTGAACTCACAGAGATCCACCTGCCTGTGACTCCCGAGTGCTGGGACTAAAGGTGTGAGCCACCGCGCCAGCTTCTCATGGCAGCTGTTCTTGTTAGGGATTTTACTAGGCCACTTAGTAAAGAGAAGGTCACTTTCTCCTTTAGTTTAGAGAGAAGTACACACGGGAACCACAAAGCTCTTGGGATGTATTCTTGATGGATACAAAGGATCTATTGGTCTGATTTGGTAGTGAAGTTTGTGATGTTCACATACAAGAGACCCAGAAAGCACACTGCCAGCACCTGTGCTTTTAATCTGTGTCTGAAGGCCATACAGTCATTGAGTAGGTATTAGAGAATGCATTCGCCCACGGGAGTTCAGAGTCTGCCTTCTTTGGATCAGACTATCCCATATATGTAATAAGCATTCACCAGATAAAACACTGCAGAGCGTCACTGGTGATTAATCAAGAACCTGGATGCTGGGCTGTGTGCCTCTACGGATAAAAAGCAGAGCTGACACTGAAAGCAAATGGAAAAGATACTCAACTACAGCTTACCATCAATAACTGAAGACTTTCTAAGAAGCCTCACAATTTTCCTTTCCAAATGTTTTATAGGAGGAAGGCACGCAGTCTGAAGACATTGTTACATGCATTGGTGACCACTCCCCTTGCGTTCCTTAAACAGGAACAGGTTAATTTGACTTTACATGAGCAGATGCCGATTCAGAAGCATTATTCAAAGCTGTAGTTGTGGGCATTCTGCTATTCAAGAATGCTGGCTACATCAGAAGCTGTTTTGATTCTTTCTTTTTTAAAAAATATTTATTTATTTATTTATTATGTATACAATGTTCTGTCTGTGTGTATGCCTGCAGGCCAGAAGAGGGCACCAGACTTCATTACAGATGGTTGTGAGCCACTATGTGGTTGCTGGGAATTGAACACAGGACCGTTGGAAGAGCAGGCAATGCTCTTAACCGCTGAGCCATCTCTCCAGCCCCCATGTTTTGATTCTTCTTTGCTATACAGTTGTTTCTAACATCTTGTCTAGTAGCACTGGTACAGTCTCTTCCTACACCCCAGACTTACTGAAGTTGCATCTGTCCCTGCATTCCAACTACAAAGCTCTGCATTCGCAAGGGATTGGTCCATATATTTTCCAGTAACCAAACCTTGGCACTCTCAGTGCTTTCCTGAGACTTAGCCCAATAACACCCCTACCCCCTAGTTCCTTATACTGACCTCATTACAAAAACACCCTGGGCTGTGTGTTCTAAACACTTTGCTGGGGATTGTTATTTAGCAGTTTAGAGACCAAGTCTAAGAATGTGTGTTTTCATCATGTCCCATAAGTAATTCTCGCAGTCTAGGTCTTCTGGGTAAGACTGGCCAACCATCCCGTGGGGGATCCCAAACCAAATTCCATGGATTTAAAAGAAGTACTGATTAAAAACAAAATCATGTGAGCCATTTTGGCATATTATCAAATCTGATACATCTTACAGTAACTCCAAACAAAGATCAGCTTTGATGCCCCATGCACTCTGATGAATGTGTCCAAGCCAGATCCCATCCTACTGGCCTCAAGGTAGTGTCAAGAGTTTCGTATTTAAACCAGTCAAACAAGGGAATGAGTGAGAATCTTCAGGACTCGGGGAGGCACAGTCTGTTTGTTCTGCTTTTGCGCTGGTGCTGTTTGCACAGCGTATAATTTATTCTTGTCTTCTAGCTATGCAGGGAGTCATGTGCTGTAGTGGCTCCTACGCTGCTGACGAGCAACGCCGGCCCTGAGTAAACAGCTCTTCATCATCAGCTCAGACCTACTGTAGACACAGGTTGGCATTTTATTTCCCCCATCTGCCTCTACCTGATAAATTACTGTTTTAGTTACACGTATACAAACACGATTTGTTAACCTGCTCAGATGTCTGTGCAATGCTTCTTCCACTTGCAGTTAAATTACACACACATATATGCGTTTCCCACTTCGTTAGAAAACAAAAAGAGATTCTCTCTACAATTTTCCGTGCAATCCCAGGCACAGACACCCTCTACATTTCTGAACCTCCCCGCAATTTAGGAATTTTACTTATCATTGCAACTGGGAACCGGTCAGCCAGATCAGGAAAAATGGCAATTGCTTCCCATCAGAGCCCAGGTCCCAAAGATTCAATCATCAAACATTTAGAAGGTTGTGAATCTGTTTGCCTGAATAATCCCAAGCTCTGGAATTAGAAAAATCTGGAAAGGTAGGGACCAAAAAAAGGGTTGTAATTTCCTAGTCAAAAGCTAATGCAGAGCTCTGCAGAATCCTACAACAGCTCGATGTTAGTACAGATGGTGACAATGATGACAGCCCAGTGTGGAGAAGCGAAATGATTTGACTCCACTTGACCTAATATGAGACCTGAGATCGCGAGAGCCTGGTAGATTTAATGCACTTGTTGTTGGAAATACAGTCAAATGCAGTGGGAAATTCCATTGTTCTAAACTACCACTTTACGTCTTGCTGCATTACTTCAAAAAGTCAGTATTGCGGGCTGGAGACATGGCTCAGGGGTTAAGAGCACTTGTTGCTCTTGCAGAAAACCTGGGTTCAGTTCTCAGCACCCATGTGGTGGTTCACAACTGCTCATAATTTCAGTGCCAGACAGCCTGATGCCCTCTTCTGACCTTCTCTGGTATCAAGTATGCATCTGGTGCACAGCTGTAAATGCAGGCAACAAACACTCATATCTAAAATACACGGAATAAATCTAACATAAAAAATTTGAGTAGCAATAAAGCCAACAACCCCCACAGAGAGAGAAAGGGAGTGGCTGGAGGAGGCACCAAACTTTTCTAAAACGAAATTCAGTGATGAAGCTAAATGCTGCAGCGCCATGGATCACACCAAGCCAACTCAGTCTACGTAATGTCTTAGGGACATCTGAGTAGTTCAGAGGTGGGCCTTTCCTGGGAGAGAAACAGCA